CCCCCCCCCCCCCCCCCCCCCCCCCCCCCCCCCCCTCTACCTTGGACGCCCCTCCCTGGAGTCTTTATCCATCCAAATTTTCAACTCAGATTTTAAACAACTGCATTCAGTGAAATGCTGCCCATCTGCATATATGTCGTCCATCATGTTATTGGTCTTTGTTTACACAGTCAAATTGTCGGTCTCTTGGATGATACTGAACTTTTTTGAAAGGGCGATGGATGGCCTTGAGATGCTTATCATCGAACGAACTGACCAGCCCCAAAGTAATTTAGAACTATCACACGGCTTTCCAACTTGAGTAATGAAGAACCTCATGCATAATGGATGACTCCAATCAGGAAGTGGCCCGATATCATACAGTTATGACTCTGGCGAGTCTCTTCGAGTGTCTCATCTGGATGCAAACTCAGGTCTGTGTTTCAACAGCTCATAGGTGTACCAACTGCGCTACGCCTGCTGTCATACCTTTTTCTAGTCAGGTCTCTTCAGGCGACCAGAAAGCCAACAAGGTGTCACGCAGGATTTTGTATGTTTGCTTGCAATAAATAAATTAAATTAAGTAAAGCAAATCCCTTCCTGTTGTGTGCGTCCAACTTCGAGCAAGACCCTTCAATTACGGTCTTCACCGGTCCCCGGTCTTAGGAATCTTTTATTTTGATTTGGAACAGCAGAAAATCATACAAATAATAGTCATAAAGTTCTGATATGTCATGCATGCATCAGTTTTGCCAATTTACTAGTTTTGAGAACTGTGACAAAATCATCAGAGAAATGCAATCATCAGCAGTGACAATGCAGGAAGCAAGACTAACTGACTCGAGCAAGGACAAAGTTAAATGAGGGAAGAATGAGAACTCATAACAGCCTCAGAAAGCACACATGTAGAGAGCATGGCCAGCACCAGTCAAGAATCCTCACTCATCCCTCTGAATCCTCACACTAATCTCTCATTTTACTGTCTGTTCCTTGTGCTTTCGGCCGTGTCTCCGCACTTTCTGAGGTTGTGGTCTCTGCCACCTGAAGCCTGCAAGCTCTGAACACTTCCATCCAAGGTACATGACCCGAAAGTCAATCATGGAGCAAAACTCTTCCCATAGTGTAGGTAGATAGGGTCTGGAGAAGATTCCCCGTCTGAGATGCTCGAACTCTGAAGGCTCTGTCAAAGCCTGATAGTCAATTTGTGCTGGTGATATGTACCTCTTCGCCAAGTCTATCAAGTCGCCCCAGCAAGAACCATCAGTGAGGGTGGAAGGTACCGGTGGCCTGGGATAGTCTGAGTAGAGCTTGGGTCCAAAGCTACGAATCAGCTTTGTACCACTCTCATCCAGCTCACGCTCTCTCTGCTCAAGATAGCTAGCTGCTGAAATCCAGACTGACTCGAAATGCTCATGAGTCTCTTGACCTCTCTTTAGATAGGATCTCAGGTCATAAATGGTACCTTCCGCAAAACTCGTGAGGACAACGAAGATTGACAGATCTCCCTGGCTGAAACGGATTGCGCTGACATACTGGTATTGAATTGCCTCCTTGAGTGCAATCTGATTGAGATTGGCCAATACTGACCCACTGACCGGAAATGACTGAACTGTACTCATGTGTAGGATAGCCACTGCCTCTCCGACTTTCTCGGGTTTACTAGACTGCCTCAGTGACGTGGCTGTTTCGATTGCTGCTCGCTTTCGGATGGTGTACTGCTTGTCCAATTGTGACCAGTGACCAGTCTCCAATCTGGTTCGTCCTCCCTAATGTGTCTCTGTCTAATGCTTGTACGTTTATCTTGGAGTTGGTGACTGGATCCTTCTTACTGTTCAGCAGCAATAGCTTTCCTGGCCTCCTCAACGGATCCTACGGATGAAAAGGTGCTGTGCAGTTTTCCACTTGACCCATGAATGTAGCGGG